CTATACGGGGCGTACAGTCGGCATGCCGCCTGAACATCGCGAATACGCCGCTACGAACTGCTAGGCTGTGTGCAATAGCTCCATACGTGCGCAAGGCCACGGTTAGGTGTATCGTGCCATATTCGGGCGCCAACGAGCCGGCGAAGCCACCGCCACGGCCTACCGATCGCTATACGGGGCGTACAGTCGGCATGCCGCCTGAACATCGCGAATACACCGCTATGCACTGCTAGGCTGTGTGCAATAGCTCCATACGTGCGCAAGGCCACGGATAAGTGCATCGTGTCATATTCGGGCCCCGACGAGCCGGCGAAGCCACCGCCACGGCCTACCGATCGCTATACGGGGCGTACAGTCGGCATGCCGCCTGAACATCGCGAATACACCGCTACGCACTGCTAGGCTGTGTGCAATAGCTCCATACGTGCGCAAGGCCACGGATAAGTGCATCGTGTCATATTCGGGCCCCGACGAGCCGGCGAAGCCACCGCCACGGCCTACCGATCGCTATACGGGGCGTACAGTCGGCATGCCGCCTGAACATCGCGAATACACCGCTACGCACTGCTAGGCTGTGTACAATAGCTCCATACGTGCGCAAGGCCACGGATAAGTGTATCGTGCCATATTCGGGCCCCGACGAGCCGGCGAAGCCACCGCCACGGCCTACCGATCGCTATACGGGGCGTACAGTCGGCATGCCGCCTGAACATCGCGAATACACCGCTACGCACTGCTAGGCTGTGTGCAATAGCTCCATAGGTGCGCAAGGCCACGGATAAGTGCATCGTGTCATATTCGGGCCCCGACGAGCCGGCGAAGCCACCGCCACGGCCTACCGATCGCTATACGGGGCGTACAGTCGGCATGCCGCCTGAACATCGCGAATACACCGCTACGCACTGCTAGGCTGTGTGCAATAGCTCCATACGTGCGCAAGGCCACGGATAAGTGCATCGTGTCATATTCGGGCCCCGACGAGCCGGCGAAGCCACCGCCACGGCCTACCGATCGCTATACGGGGCGTACAGTCGGCATGCCGCCTGAACATCGCGAATACACCGCTACGCACTGCTAGGCTGTGTGCAATAGCTCCATAGGTGCGCAAGGCCACGGATAAGTGCATCGTGTCATATTCGGGCCCCGACGAGCCGGCGAAGCCACCGCCACGGCCTACCGATCGCTATACGGGGCGTACAGTCGGCATGCCGCCTGAACATCGCGAATACGCCGCTACGCACTGCTAGGCTGTGTGCAATAGCTCCATACGTGCGCAAGGCCACGGATAAGTGTATCGTGCCATATTCGGGCCCCGACGAGCCGGCGAAGCCACCGCCACGGCCTACCGATCGCTATACGGGGCGTACAGTCGGCATGCCGCCTGAACATCGCGAATACACCGCTACGCACTGCTAGGCTGTGTGCAATAGCTCCATACGTGCGCAAGGCCACGGATAAGTGCATCGTGTCATATTCGGGCCCCGACGAGCCGGCGAAGCCACCGCCACGGCCTACCGATCGCTATACGGGGCGTACAGTCGGCATCCCGCCTGAACATCGCGAATACGCCGCTACGCACTGCTAGGCTGTGTGCAATAGCTCCATAGGTGCGCAAGGCCACGGATAAGTGCATCGTGTCATATTCGGGCCCCGACGAGCCGGCGAAGCCACCGCCACGGCCTACCGATCGCTATACGGGGCGTACAGTCGGCATGCCGCCTGAACATCGCGAATACGCCGCTACGCACTGCTAGGCTGTGTGCAATAGCTCCATAGGTGCGCAAGGCCACGGTTAGGTGCATCGCGCCATGTTCGGGCGCCAACGAGCCGGCGAAGTCACCGCCACGGCCTACCGATCGCTATACGGGGCGTACAGTCGGCATGCCGCCTGAACATCGCGAATACGCCGCCCGGACTCGCGATTGCAGTGTACAAGGTTTGGTGACCCTGGATGGAGATGTCCCCAAGGGAGGACCCCGGCCGGAGCCAAGTATCGAACGAGAGGCAAAACCCAAGGGAGCGTAGAAGTGCCTCCGACTGGAGGCCACCTACTCTTGGTGTACTGTACAACGCAAGAGGAGCCCGACCGGATCAAGTGAAGACCCAGAAGCCGTGAAGTTGTCCAAGACATCCCGGATGTGAAGCCCAAGTGGAGTGCGATCCCGTTTGGAGATAATCCTGGATCCCGGATGGATATACCAAGAGACCATCCCAGCTGTGGTGATCCAGTATACAAAGTCCAAGATGTTTCCGACCAGCCAATATCTGTTCGGATTCCGTGGAACATTGAAAATCGCTTGCGTACCCAGTGATGATTATACTTGCTGAAAGTATGCTACGAGGGACCACGGACGATTGCGACGGCAAGGCCATAGTGAAGCCAAGTCAAGATGGAGTGCATGTAGAGATCGACAGAAGATAGCCATACAGACAGACAGAGAGACAACAGATAACAGATAAACAGAGTTCGTTTTGCCAAGGATCGCACAAGTGAGTTGGAGCAGCCTACCGGACGTGCATTCCCAGAGGACCGACTAAGTCTACGTGTGAGGGCCCAGCAATTGTCACATCTGGGTCGAGCTCCCGCAACCAAGTCCAGTCCAAGTTGGGGTGAGTACCGGCACCAACCCGAGGCTGATTCATCCCATTTCATTTCCTAGTTGCCGTTGAGTTCGTCCAGACCTGATTACCTTTCACCCCTGGTTGGAGTAGCCCCGTGTGGAAAGTATTGATTTAAGTGCTATGTGTGATAGGAGGTAATTGATTGTTTTAGTTTCCCTCAGTACTCGAGGGTGGTGCGCGTGAGCCAAAACCGACCGGGATCGACCGGTGTCCTCGAGTCCGGCTGGAGTTGACTGGAGTAGTGACCGACCCTTGTACGGTCCAAACGACTAAGGAAAGGCTATGTGTTTGCATATAACTCTGTATCTGTTTGTATTGTTTGGTTATCTGAGGCTGTCAGAGGCGACGTCCAGGAAGGTTACGTTCTGCCCTGCTGCCTAGCGACCTACAAGTATCCAGACAACTCATTCACGGTTAAAGACCCCTGGTTACGAAGACAAACGAAGCCACAGGGATTGTTCACAAGGACACACGCCGACCCGATTGGAGTGTACATCTAGGTGTACCATCTACGGCTAGGTTTGTTCTGGGTGCACCCCATTCGGGAGTCTTCATCCAGGGCGCGCTAACTATACACCAGGGCGGTCAGGCGTTCCCCCGCCTCGCCTCACCCTGATCATCGCGTACCCGCTGCTACGTAATGCTAAGAGCGCTGTCCGTTTAGAAAATCGATCGATTTTCCCCTGCCAATTTATTTCCGCTTACGGAAAAATGAGGGTCCAAGAAATCGTCTCCATGTCCAAGTAGAAAAGTGGTTTCGCTAATTTATTTGATCAAACCTATCCAATCGCATAGCTGTATATATTGGATATTTGATAGGTTTCGTTTCGCACTTCAACTCTGCTAGAAGAAGGCAACAAATATCGACTTCCAAGTGATTTACTGCTCTGCGCAGCGGGCAGGCCCAAACGACAATATACTGTGGTTCGACAGGACGCTGCGCCATCATCACTCCCGTCGGCGTCGCGCTTGGCGGCGCGCGTTCGAAGGGTATCCCACAGCTTCCTGCTCGTCACAATGCCCTCCTCCCATGTCGGCGGCACTTTCTAGAACGGATTACATGTACATTTTCTTAAGCGCCACGTAGATGATGAGAGCTGCCACGTATGCGTCGCGCGCTCCAGATCACGGCTGACCATAGCCGAAAAATGGCTCACATCGCGCGAAATGGCGGGTTATAATGAGCCCGGCTTTATGAGGATCGAACTGTGCTCTTATCCTCGCTCGCGCACAACGTTGACCACGGCGATCGCGTACATGGCCGTCGGGAACACACTTACCATGAGGTGAGGCGAGGTCGTAGTTGAGTGGGCTCTCGGTGTGCGCAGGTGTGATACGACGCCACTGAGCAACCGGCCCTTGGACGATCAGTCCCGGTACGGACTCCTATCATATGCGTTTTCTAGATAGCATCCCGCATCTTACTACAGTAGCGTAGATGGCTGGCTGACCGGTGTTTGGTAGTTGAAGTTCTCTACAATATTCAAACTAATATTTAAAGGAGCTGTGCGCCTCTATACCTGCATTCGCACGCAGCATACATGAGCTCGACATCAATAGTACTTGTGCGGTGATCGCGGAGGGTGCAACTTGCATTCGACGCCGCGCTTGACGTAGCGTTCGCCGCCATACGTGGGGGCCGTCTTCCTCCAGCTTTTCACTCGCTCCTCACAATAATCCGTCGCCGCCCAAAAGAAATTGGTGGTGCACCAATTTCTTTTTACTGCATTATAACGAGGCGTTTCGGCCACCTAGTTTTTCTTAACGCTACTTCAGAGAAAAAAAGGTGAAAAAAATAAATCGATTTTCTAACCGATCAACTCTCTAAGCTGAGTGCAATAGATCAATAGGTGCGCAAGGCCACGGTTTAGGTGCATCCTGCCATGTTCGAGCCCCAACGAGCCGTGGAAGCCACCGCGACGGCCTTCCGTGTGCTATCCAGGACGTACAGTCGGCATGCATCCTGATCATCGCGAATCCGCCGCTACGTACTGTTAAGACGAGTGCAATAGATCCATGGGTGCGCAAGGACACGGCTAGGTGCATCGTGTCAAGGTTTGCCTAACCGTGTTCTTGCGCACCTATTGATCTATTGCACTCTCTCTAGGCTGTGGACCACTACCGCGTAGAAAGCCTCCGTCCCCATTCGCACCTTGGCTCCTCAGCAATTCCTCAGTAGCCGCCTGCCGACCGTAGCTACGGCAAAAGAGCTTGTTGGTGCCAAATGAGGGTACCGCATGCCGAGACGCATCCAATGAGCCACTCCACGCTGACTACCACCGCGTAGAAAGCGGATTCGCCTATAATCCAGTTGGTCAGTGTGTAATTGCTTCACTACATGTAGATATTCTAGAATGACCATGCTCGCTCGTTCTGCGCTGACACGATTGCCTTCGAAATCTTGCTGTCTGAATACCAGGGCTCCTGATCATGGCATGGTAAAAACTATAATGTCAAATATTTTGTTATTGATTATTTATTGCAGTCGGTTGGGCCCGACCACATTTTTTTATGTCGGGAGGTCCCAGCAATAACTGCTCCTCGATGATGTTTTTAATGGGATAGGAAGCAACGTTAGTGCTGCTATCGCAGACCAAATAGGATTATAATCGTGGTACAGCAAGTCAAACGATGACCCCTCTTGACATCTAACTGGTATATTTTCTTGAAACCGGTGCGACTCCGGTGCCGCACTGGGCCCTCCAAAAGGTTCATATGCGTGGGCAGATCGAACCGGTGTGCTACCGGCGACACTGGTGAATCAGTGCATATATTGAGCAGGGTACGGATGGACGAAGTGGAGTGAAGAGAACGCTTGGACTGTACATTAGCACTAGAGATACTAAGTATGCATTTGCATTTTCTACAAGCTGCAAAACATATCTCAACCAAGGCTCGCATTTTTTAATTTTGTATAGCATTGCCGGTTGATATCTTGCATCTACAACATTACTTAAGTAAGAAAAAATCCGAGCAGATGCTGCGGCTGCGAAGCAGGCGCAGGAGATGACCGTAGCTAGTAAGAAACGAAATTAATAACAACTGACAAAAGAAGGGTTTACTCCAAAATTCTCCTATCCCAGCCTTCGCGGAGCCCTAGTAAATACAGGGACTTTCGTACAAAAAATCAAGTTATTTTATCTAAATGTCAAGAAATTATTGATTATGATCGCTTTCGAAGCTACATTAGGGCTGATGCCATTATTTTTATTTATGAGTCAGATGAACCATCGATAAATAAAAATACCATAATCAGGAGCCCGGCACTCAGTGAGTTCTGATTCACTGTGAGCTGGGATAGATTTGAGATACTTCAGTAGTTTCACTCCCTCTGACTGAAACATGGACTGTGTATTTTCCTGTTTTTCTCTGCAAGTACACTGCGCGACATAATCTTTCGGACACTCACATTTTTGTCCATATATCAGCTTCTAGAAACCGTTAGAGCTCGCTATTTAGATATGTTGTACCTATCCGATCAATCTATAGCTGGCATGTGACGCGGACTTAGATTTCTGAGCGCGTAGATAGGCTAGTATACAACTGACACGATTCCGGACCGCGACAAAGTTTTCGGACAATTTTTATCTTGATTAAAGTATGTCCTGCAATGATGGGTACATCAAATCAGCCAATCAGCGTCCTATGTCGGCGCTAATGCACACATTTGCGTCTATTTCACGGCAACATGTATCAAAATAGAGCCTAATTTTCGTTAGAAGAGGTTAGATAGACTAGTGGTCTACCTAAGAGAATCGTTGCCGCAACTCTGAGCACTTTGCCGGTGTGGATGAGTTGTGTCGAGTTACGCGAAGCAGTTGTGTGCGAAGGGCTAGCCGAGTACAGGAATGAAAGTGTGTACTTCAGTGTAAAATTGGTTGTGATTCTTGTTGTTTAAGTGTTGTTGTAGGCGAAAGCTTTTCAAGCGGAAAAAAACCCGTAGACTCTATCTGACTACTATGGCCGCAGCCATGAGAGTACAGCACGCATGCTGTCGCTCGTAACTCTCGAGTCACAAGCTAGTCTCTCTCGCAGTCAATGCCTTCAACCGTCACTCGCTACTCGTAGACATTCAACAAGTATTCTACTATACATCTTCATACATTGTTGTTGCAACCCAAGTGACACGGATTGACCTCAGTCGAATCTCTTACTCCCACTTAAGTTGGGTTTCACAACATATACAAGCATACAATATTATCCCTAGCTTAGACGCATCCAAGTTCAACGTGAATACTGTCTGGATGGCCTCAGCCAATCCCTGTCGATCCGCCTTTGAGTCAGCGCGCAGTTGAGCAGGTTCGTGGCTTCCACAGAAGTCACAGGTATACCCGCAGGCACCCAAGCCGGAGCATTACAACATCGTTGCGAACGTACAGCTTCACAGTACAGCTTCATTCATTGCAGCAATAATCTCAAATTGTGACCTGGACGCATCCAAATCTACGTGTGAGCACGTAAGAAGGCCTCGGGCAACTCAATCGTCGCTCATCACAATGTCCGACGCATTGTCAGACTCGCTCGCAGTCGCCGCAGCGACAGTAGGTCCGCCCTCAGAAGTCCACGCCATTTGCACGGTATCAATCTTGAGCAGGTCACGCAGACGCTCAAAGACACACGGGCCCAGTGCTTTCGTAAAAATATCCGCAATATTCTCAGTTGTGGGCACGTACTCCATTTGCATGTGTCCACTATCGATCCACTCAGCAATCGACCTTGTCTCTTTCGCCAGGTGCTTCATCCTCTGCGAATTGCCATTGTTTTCGACTTCTTTCAGGGTACTCTGGTTGTCGCAGTATAGTGTTGCGATTTTCTGTTGCGGGATTCCAATATCCTTCAGCAGCTTTTGTGCCCATTTAATCTCTTTCGTGCATTTGTGGGCGGCAATCAGCTCCGCAGCACAGGTGTCGTCAGCCACACTTCCCTGCTTCTTGCTCTGCCAGTGCCAAACATTGCCATTTGGCCTCAAGGTCCAACCAGAAACAGATTTGCTCGTTTCAGGACACCCGGCGTGATCTGCGTCCGCAAACGCATCAATCACCACACCATCACTAGCCACTCCTGCATAGCGATATACCAGGCCAAGGTGCTTGGTACCACGCAAGTACCGCAGCACGCGTTGTGCCTGCCGGAAGTTCTCTACTGTGTATGCTCCTCCGTACCGACCAAGTGTCCGCACCACATTTGCCAAATCAGGTCTGGTACAGTGCACTAGGTATTGTAGAGACCCTATTATCTCGGGAAATGGCAGCTTCGGATCATTAATCAGGTTGGGGTTTTTCTCCACTCGTACAGTTCGCTCATTGTGAACTTGAGGAGACCGCACTGATTTTGCTGCTGCTAATCCAAAATTCTCGAGCATACGCTCAACGTACGCTGTCTGCGAGATGCACAATATCTTACCCGGCTCATAATTAATCTCCATTCCCAATAGGTGTTTCACCCGACCCAAGTCCTTCAGTTTGAACTTCTTGCCCAGCGCTTCCACCACGCCGTCAGCATCTCTCGGGTCTGCGGCGATCAGTATGTCATCAACCTACACGGTCAGGAAGATTTTGTTGTGCTTTCCTTCTCTCCAATATACTCCAGCGTCAAACGTACACTTCTTGAACCCGATCTCAACCAGGTGCTTGTGAAGCGTGTTATTCTAGATTCGCGAGGCTTGCTTTAGTCCATATAGTCCTTTAACTAGGCGACAGACTCGTCCAGCGCCGTCGTTGTAGCCCTCAGGCTGCTCCATAAAAATCTCAACACCGGTGAGCACACCATTCAGGAACGCGGTCACGAAGTCTACATGCCGACAGTCGAGACCAAACAGTAGAGCTAGCAACAGTACGAGCCGTACCGACTCGATTCTCACTACAGGTGAGTACGTCTCCAAATAGTCGAGTCCAAACTTTTGCCGATATCCCTTAATCGCCAATCTCGCCTTGAACCGCTCTATCCAGCCCTTTTCGTTTCGTTTGCACACTAACACCCACAGTGATGTCAGAATGTTGACAGGATTGTCCTTCGTGTACTTCGGCCTAGGTACCAATTCCCACGTATTGTTCGTCATCAATGATTCGTACTCCGTGTCCATCGCTTTCTGCCACTTGGGTCCGTGCTCGGATGCAAGAGCCTCCGTCACGGTTGTAGGATTCAGCAGGTTGCACACAGCCCCAATCATCATGCATTGAAACAGTGTCTGAGTCATAAAAAACTCTGGGGGCTGTATCGCTGTGTTTGGCGGCGGGCTGGAGTCGACCTTCGTAGTGGAACAGTTGGAGGAGTCCGCTGTGCTCGCCCCCCGCTCCCACTAGTTCCACGTCCTCGTACTGCTGAGGGTGCGGGAGCACGTCCAGTATTCGCAGCACCACCAGCTCTCCCACTACGGCCAGCCCCTCTAGATCTCCCACTAGTCCGTGCAGTACTCGATCTACCTGCGTCGGTAGTCACATTATCACCAGTTGCGACTTGCGGTGTAGCAGGAGTAACATCCTCCATGTCCTCGCAGCCACCCGAATTACCGTCATCATCATCATCACTACTGCTGCTGTAATCACTGCTGTCATCCTCACTTACTTCGTTGTCGTCAAATTGTTCCGCCATGCCGTCGTCGGTGTCGTAAAATCCTCTTCTTCATCTTCCATCAGCTCAGGAATCTCCTCAAACCGGTCACTTTCACTCTCAGAGTCAGATTCCTCATTCTCGCTCGCATCTGGTAAATGCACACGGCTAACGGGAAGCGAGACGTAGTCAATGTGGTCTGGCAGATCGACTTCCTTCTCAAAGTACACTTTATCGATGAGATCGTGCACGTATTTAGGATCTGCCGTCATATCTTCATAAAAGACGACATCTCGGCGCTCCACTACATTGCCAGTACACAGGTCGAGAATACGATAGCCGAGCGAGGTAGTCAAAAAGTCAATACCGCGCGAAGCCAAGAAGGCCTTCAGCGCGTTGTTGAGAAACTCACCTCCTTTGTTACTCGAGAAAATATTAATCACATGCTCCTTTTCCAATTTAAGCAGTAGATCCATAGTGTGCTGGTTTGCATCACTCGTCTCCTTCAGGAGAAAGCACCACTTAAATCTCGAAGCTTCGTCTTCGATGATCTGAAAATAGCTATTTCCTCCAGGTGTCAGCATTCCAACAGGGCTAATGTCTGACGTCAGACGCGCACCACATCTCTTCTGACGCTTGCCGTGTCGTCGGAACGACATGCGCTTTTGTTTCGCACGCTGACAGGCAATGCAGCGGAATGGTACCTTAGAATCTGCGAGTGTCAGGTCCAAACCGCCCACCATGTCCATTCAGACCATCCTCTTCATCGCCTCCAAGTTCGGATGTCCAAGTTTTATGTGCCACGCCATCACCGTATCAATTTTCGGAGTCGTAGTTGCCGCGCAGACCGGGTTGCTAGGCAGTACAGGGGTTGTATCCAGCCAATAATGCCCATTTCTTTTCCTAAACACCATTTGCACACCTTCGTAATCGTTGTGCGTGAAGATCGTGACTCGTTCTTCTGGTGACGCTGCCTTTGGCGTTGTAGGTTCCCATCCGTCTTGCTCCAGTTGCTCTTGACTGATGAGGTTGGTCGATCCTCTCGACGAGTACCGCGTCTCCTTCAAGTCCAGCACACCATCAGGTCCGTCAGGATCCATGTCATTTTGGACGCAAATTTTCACGAACCTAATACCGTATGAGATGTTACTTTCACCTCTCCAGTCGTCAAAGAAGTTCGTATCCTCTCTCATGCCATATCCGAATGCAGACTCACTTGTGCACACATGCACAGCTGTACCAGTATGTGGCGTAGTGGGATCAGCAAAACTTGCAAGATTGCCAATCCAACTTACCAACTGCGCCCGAACACCGACTTACGGAGGGGATCCCCCGATGATCCGTGATCTGTGTGCTGAACTGGTCACCTTGTGTACCCGTCGGTAGGGCTGGATCTGCTCCTCTGGTGTCTGCTGAAGCGTCCGAGCCTTGAAGTCAGAACAGTCTGGTCGAGACGCGGGGATGTGGGTGGAGCAGCGCGGAAATCTTCACTCTGCCCGCAGTAGTTACTCCCAATCCAGTGGTAGTCGACTTGGATCCGGCGGCCTGGATTTGGATCCGGCCGTGGGGTTGCCTTTGGGTTGTTGTTGTTCCTTTCCTTTGCCTTCGCAGGTCTTCCTTTGCCGTACTTGCCGCTTCCTATATAGATGCTGAGAGTCGAGGATGCCAATGTATTATCCAGTCTTAACCAACGCTAGCTCCACTACCAGAACCTTGCTAAGCCGTGGGGCCAATGTACTTCCCGTTTCCAGGCGAAGCCACTTGCGATGTATAAGGCAGATTCGAGTCTGATTTATGCTTAAGTCCAATCCCATCCCAAAGTCCTATCTTCCTATGGATCCTATCATCCCATCTGCACCTACTGACTCTATGGGGCTTGATTACCTTCCTTGCGTGTCGCTTGATTGCCTCCGTCGAGCCATAATTTTAGATCCACCGCTCACTTCCATCTGAGTCCGAATCAGAATCAGATCTGGATTGGATCGGATCGCCCATCCACTTGACAGCTGCATCTCTTGGATCTTGGGTCTCGAGGCATGGCGTTGCTTGGGCACACATTCGTGACGTCCGGTCGCACTCGTAGTGCCTTCCGTTGCAATCTCTAACACCTGGTACGGGGCCCGATCCGCCAGTCTGGTGGGTCCATCGCGGAGTCTGGATCCATCATTCTGCCGATCACCCTTTGTCCCAATTTCTTGGATCCTGCTTCTCCACAATCGCCACCTGTCTGTAGTTGTTGCCGACCAGCGGCATCACTGCAGACACTTGTTCTTACTTTCAAGCCCACCAAGTATATAATACTATGTCAGACCCCGCCCGTAGCGCCCCTCGCACGGCCCCTGCTCACCATCTCCACTATGACGGGTAT